CAGAACGGAAGGCAGGAGTCCAAAATCCAAAGCAACCAGAACCGAGCGGGAGCGGAGGCTCTGGAAGGAGAGGAAAACTCAGTTAAATTCTATTCAGTTTATTTCTATAGCTCCAATTCACATCATGTCATCTCAGGTCACTTTCCAGTTCATCAGATCATCCAGTCAGATTTATTCAAAGTTTTCTATCTAAGGAAAACCAGCTGATTGCATCGACTCATTGACTCCTCAGCAATCCCTCACACTAAGCATGCTTGTAGCGACAGTGGAGAGGAAAAACTCCCTTTGAACCGGAAGAAACCTCCAGCAGAACCAGGCTCAGTGTGAGCGGCCATCTGCTGAGGCCCACTGGGGTTCAAGGAGACAGAAGCAGTTTGTCACATCCAGTTAGTCACAGTCAGAGAATCAGGACTACACTGGAAAACAGGCCAAGCTCCAACATCTAGAAACAAAGGTGTTGATGGCAGCAGCACAGCTGATATTTCTCTCCAGGATGGAGTCACATAAATCTATAAAGAAAAACTTTATAGATATGCACATATAATTCACAACTAAAAGATGCAACAGAATGTTTCTAAGATTACTCACAAAACATAATGCTCATGTCTTTTTACCCACAGTCCACAGGTTAACAAACCCTCCTATCACAGTGGTCACAGTGGTTTCGTGCCAGTGGTCGACAATCAAAAAAGGCCTGCAATGACTTTGCAAAGTTCTTTACTGAGAAAATACCAGGTATTAGAAAAACATTTTGTACATCAGTGCCAACTCCAGAACCAACATTGTCTCCATTGATAATAAACTCTGTTTAAATGTCCCAATTCTGCACAATAAACTGCAAAGGTGTAGAAGACACTGTTCAGCAGCTAAGCTCCTCTTCCTGCTGTCTTGATGTGTTACCCACAGATTTTATTTAGAAGTTTTTACATGTTTTAGAGTCTGATTTAATTTAAAAACAATAAACACATCCCGCATGTTGGGTGTTTCTTCTGGGCCTTAAAAACAGAGATTATGAAGAGAGGCTTGAACAAATTAGTCCTGCAGAACTACAGGCCCATCTCAAACCTCCCCTTCATCAGCAAGAGGATTGAAAACCTTTTATTTCAACAGTTAAATGCCTTCTTGACATTGATCTGCTTCTTCTAGTGAGATTTCTGTGCCACTGTACAGAGACTGCCCTAATTAAGGTGTTCAATGACTTCTGTATAAATTCAGAACCACAGTTCTGGTATTATTGGACCTCAGTGTAGCGTTTGATATTGTTTTCTCCAACTGAATAAAAATATAACAGATTATAATCTTCAGACCAAAGGAGAAGAGATCCAGAGCTACTGCAGCTAGAAACTACCGATTATTACCAAAATACTGGAGTCATGACCTGAACCTTCAGAGGCACATGAAGGTAGTTACTAAAGCCAGACATAAACAAACATTTAGATTTTTGGGGCTGATTTTCCAGTCTTGTGAGAATTTTTTGGATCATTCCAAGTTTTAACCACATTATACGTCCTGCGTTGTCAGTATATCCTCCTGAGAACCGAAGAAAAAAGTGTTTTACAATTTCTTTTTTTTTGTGATTTACCATGTATTTGGACCTAAAAAAAACTAATTACAATTAAAAATTTTTTAAATATATTTTTAATTTAAATTTTATTGCATGTCAACTGTGGAGGACAACAGGACAATTTGCTTAGGAAAATAGAACAGGCTCGAGAAAATAAAAAAAATGATAAAAGATTATGTCTTGAAAGTTATATTTGCCTAAGAACTTTGAAATTTGATAAAAACAAATATAGTTCTGTAACATTCTTCTTTTGTTTGTTGCTTGCAACAGCAAAAACACATCTATTTAGTTCAACAATAAACTATGAAACTTAGAACTAAGCAGTTCTGCATTTCATCTTCCTCTGGATATTTTAGCTGTGATAATCCTGGAAGCATCTTCTCTCTTTGGTTATGCAGAGGAACATCTTGCATTTGGTGCACCTCATGTATGTCTTTCCATTGCAGCCCTTGTTCCTGCATCTTTCTGTATGCTTTATGCTTTATTTAGGGGGTAACGAGCCTCTCAGGACCACCTTCCGATCAGGATTCGTAAGGTCGGGAGAAAATCAAACATCTTTGAAATTCAGTCGTCCTTTTTGAGGTGTTCTGAGGCAAATCTCGCTGTTGAAGCAGAGCTATGAGCTGATTAACCAGAACCTCACGCATTGCGCATCTGCAAACAAGGCAGTTCTTCTTCTTCCAGTGTGCTTTCATCGTACAGTTCGAGCTGTCGCTAGGTACAACGATTGAAAATATTGTGCAGTGTGTTTGGCCAGCTTAAGTTACCCTTTTATTTCCAGGATGAAAAGACTAATGTCCAAGAAGGATCTAGAAAAACTCATTCATGCATTTACCTTTAGTAGAATTGATCACCGCAGCTGTGTCTTCATAGGTTTGCCTAAAAAGTGCATAAGACAGCTGCAGCTGATCCAAAGCTCTGCTGCCTGTGTTCTCACTACAACTAAGAAAGTAGAGCACATCAGCGCCACTAAATTCCTGGAATAGATTTTAAAATCTGTTAGTCTAGAAATCACTGAATAGATCAGCATCTCGATCCAAAACGGATCTGTTTTCAGTGGATCTACTCCACCCAGAGCTAGAATCAAACATGGAGAAGCAGCATCTATGCTCCACGGATCTGGAACAAACTCCCAGATGACTGGAAAAGAGCTAAAAGCCTGAGTTCTTTGAAGTCAGTTATTTAAAGCTGCCTTTGAAAGTTGCAGTTAAACTACTAACTGAGGTATCACTGGTTTTAGGCTGTGGTCCAGTGGCGGATCTAGGGGGCGGCTACTTGGGCTGCAGCCCCGGATGTTTCCCCTAGAGCCCCGGATCTCGCTTCTGAGCTGATCTGAGTAAAATGTGCAGTACTGGATTTCACCAGATGGTGGCAGCAAAGGCAGGAAAGCAGCCCGTAGCATTCCAGTGCAGAAGAAGAAGTTCTCACCAATGGCTGTTGCTAAACAGACTGATGTTCCAGGGATGTGAAGCTCTGACTGACTTCCAGACGTTGTTTGTCCCGTTGGTGTATGAAATTCTGTTCCCCTTATTTCGGGAATCGCATTGAAGCCAGAGAGGCGGACATTGCGGATGGGAGCATTTTCACGACGCGTCTGATCGATTTCTCGCTAAAATCAGCTATAATCACGTCACGGTTGCAACATCCAGTTTAATCAGCAGCTGTTGTTTACAAAATTGTAAAATAAATAAATAGACGAGGTGCTTTAAAGCTATTTTGTGTTATTTTAAACGCCAAGAAAATCGTCTTTTTCCAACTTCTGTTACTTAAACCTGACAGAAATAAAAGTCAGTCACCAAACAGTTTTCCAACAGTAGTGAGTATTAATCATTTTTCATTGCTGATATCAGAGGATGGAAACTGGCTGATAGCAGGACACAAATATTCCTGAAAAGATGAGAGTGTAGGCTTTCTGATTTATCCCGTTCTAATGTAAAATATGACAGATTACTGGATTAAGGACATTCCCAGTTTACTACATGATATCACACAAACAATTTTTGAGAATCTGGAAACAGATGCTTTTTACTTCCCGAAGATATGGGAGGAGGAGAGACTTGATGTTTCAGCTGCCTGAAATAATCTGTTCCTCCTCCGTAACATGGGAAGAAATTAATTTACCTGCACATTTTTAACTGTGTTTATTTCTCTTCATCAACAACAAATCCTCTGGATTTAGTGACATTTGATCATTATTTGCCAAAGTTATGAGGGGGGAATCGTATATTTTAGCCCCCTGATAGAATCCGTTCCCCCTTTGATGATCTTTATGAAATATATTTTCTGTTTAAATGTTTATCTAACAATTCATAAATATTCCAACAACAAAAAAAGTTCAAACCAAAACCTCTGGACATTGTTTTCCAAGTTTGAAGATGTTTCTTAATTCCAAATGTCTGGAGCAATGCTATTGCAGACATTTGGAATTGAGAATTAAAATACATTAAATAAAGATAATACAACAACTATTTTGGATTTAAAAATATAAAATAATGAATGTTTTAAACATAATATATGAAAAATAATGACAGTTTCACTGGATTTGTTTATTTTTTTTCCCATGTTATGGGGAAACGGATTCTATCAGGCGGCTAAAATATATGATTTCCCTCTGATAACTTTGGCAAATAATGATCAAATTTGACCAAATCCACAGAGTTTGCTGTTGATGAAGAGAGGGATAAACACAGTTAAAGACTTGCAGGTGAATTCATTTCTTCCCATGTAATCGAGGGGGAATTGTTATGTGTGATAGCATGTAGTATAGTAGAAATTTCTTTAATCCAGTAATCTGTCATATTTTACATTAGAACGGGATTTAGAAGAAAGTCTACTCTCTCATCTTCACCCTCGGGGCTAAGCCCCTGCTCTCCTAGGATCCTAGATCCTCCCCTGCTGTGGTCCAACAGTTTTATTTGTTACCTTGCCTTGCCTTGTCTTGGAACCTGAATCAAACATTTAGAGGTCCACGGTTTTCTAAATTGGATTATTTTTATGGATCTTGAATGATGTCACCAAAGGAATCCCTCTGTTCAAATTAAATGTCAATATGTAGACTCATCAGGCTAAAGGCTCAGTAATCTCAGTTTACCTCTGTAAACATCTGGTTCAGACTGAGTGTCTCTAGATGAACAAAGAGGACCGTATGGCAGGGATTTGGTTCACTCTATATTTTAATATCAGGCCTTCATACAGAATGACATCGGTTCTGTTGAGCAGACTAGATCTGATCCTGGAGACTAACGTAGGAAAACGTTTATCCAAAGTAGCAGCGAATATAGTCACAAGATAACTGTCTTTTATATCATAGACAAAAGAAAAAAAAAGAGTCAAATTAATGTTCTCCTTCTTAAATAGTCGGTTTAACATTTCTGTTCAGGATTTTTTGCAAATCTAAAGAGATGTTTACCTTTAAACACAATTATAACATGACAGATTCCAGGTCAAACAACCTTTATTGGCCACTAAAACGCACATGGCACTCGTCGCCGGGCAACAACAGCGTTTGTCATGTTTGGGTTGATGAGGGAGGGGGACGCTCAGCTGGCCCTGGCTGTCGCAGGGGGGGCAGGAGGAGCCGGTGCTGGGGCCGGATCGGGGTCTGGGACGGGGGCTGGGGCAGGATGGATGAAACACCCTTTCTTGTGCCACTGCATGTCCCGCACCCGTCGGACAGACTGGATCCGGGGAGAGGGCGCCTCCCAGTCGTTCCAGTGCTTGAAATCCCCTCGCTCAAAAATGTATTGTTGCCCCCTGTAGCCTGGGTACATGTAGCCCACCCACCTGGAAGAGAAAGGAGAATGAGAGTCAGGATCGGCCCCTGGAGTTTTAAGGTGCCCCAAACTGAACTTGGAAAGGCGGCCATGATTGCCCATTTTAACTAAACTGCTAACTTCTCATTTATTTTGCTGAAGGTCAGGATCAGAGTGAAAGCAGATTTTTCCTTGGCCTAATTGTAAGATAAAATGTTTAGAGTTTGCCTGCCTAAATAGGAGTGAGTTCAGAGAAATCTAGTTCCAGCCTCTATCCTGTAATGTTTAAGGTAGGGGGGGCAGAAAGCAGATGCCTCCCGACTCTAGACAAGGATGAAGGTTCACAGCCTCCTTCATGCCGTGAACGAGGGACCGGTTCTGGGTGTTTATCTGCCCATAATCTATGTCCTTGATGAATTGAAGTGTTTTCTCTTGGGAATAACCAAATGTTCAAGTGTGAGAAAGTTTCCTTATGCAGAGGGTGGGTTGGTTCCTCTGGGGCAGGAGTCACCAACGCGGTGCCCGCGGGCACCAAGGGGCCCTCAAGGACCACATGGGGTGCCCTCTTCATCTTCTGAAAACAGAAGAACTCACTCAGTGGGTTAAGTTTAATTTTTTTTATTCTTTTGCTCTTCTTTTTATCATTTATGTATTATTTTATCATGTTGACTATTTAGTCATATTTCAGTGGTTTCAAAATGACAATATTAAAAAGAAAATTAGAAATGAATAAAAGAATAAAATAAGAATAAAAATTAGTTTTTATGGATGAGATTTACTGTAGGTGAACACTGATCCCTCCAGTTCATAGGTCAGTATTGGTAGCCCTTCCTATGACTCGGTAGCCATGAAGTAGCCCTCAGCCTTAAAAAGGTTGCTGACTCCTGCTCTGGGGGGAGTGTGTGTGATTTTGTAAGGTATACAGTGGGGCAAAAAAGTATTTAGTCAGCCACCAATAGTGCAAGTTCTCCCACTCAAAAAGATGAGAGAGGCCGGTAATTTTCATCATAGATATACCTCAACTATGAGAGACAAAATGAGAAAATAAAATCCAGAAAATCACATTGTCTGATTTTTAAAGAATTTATTTGCAAAATATGGTGGAAAATAAGTATTTGGTCAGTTACAAAAGTTCATCTCAATACTTTGTTATATACCCTTTGTTGGCAATGACAGAGATCAAACGTTTTCTGTAAGTCTTCACAAGGTTTTCACACACTGTTGCTGGTATTTTGGCCCATTCCTCCATGCAGATCTCCTCTAGAGCAGTGATGTTCTGGGGCTGTCGCTGGGCAACACGGACTTTCAACTCCCTCCAAAGATTTTCTATGGGGTTGAGATCTGGAGACTGACTAGGCCACTCCAGGACCTTGAAATGCTTCTTACGAAGCCACTCCTTCGTTACCCGGGCGGTGTGTTTGGGATCATTGTCATGCTGAAAGACCCAGCCACGTTTCATCTTCAATGCCCTTGCTGATGGAAGGAGGTTTACACTCAAAATTTGACGATACATGGCCCCATTCATTCTTTCCTTCACACGGATCAGTCGTCCTGGTCCCTTAGCAGAAAAACAGCCCCAAAGCATGATGTTTCCACCCCCATGCTTCACTGTAGGTATGGTGTTCTTTGGATGCAACTCAGCATTCTCTCTCCTCCAAAAACGACGAGTAGAGTTTTTACCAAAAAGTTCTATTTTGGTTTCATCTGACCATATGATATTCTCCCAGTCATCGTCTGGATCATCCAAATGCTCTCTAGCAAACTTGAGACGGGCCTTGACATGTACTGGCTTAAGCAGGGGGACACGTCTGGCACTGCAGGATTTGAGTCCCTGGCGGCGTAGTGCGTTACTGATGGTAGCCTTTGTTACTTTGGTCCCAGCTCTCTGCAGGTCATTCACTAGGTCCCCCCGTGTGGTTCTGGGATTTTTACTCACCGTTCTTGTGATCATTTTGACCCCACGGGGTGAGATCTTGCGGGGAGCCCCAGATCGAGGAAGATTATCAGTGGTCTTGTATGTTTTCCATTTTCTAATAATGGATCCCACAGTTGATTTCTTCACACCAAGCTGTTTACCTATTGCAGATTCAGACTTCCCAGCCTGGTGCAGGTCTATAATTTTGTTTCGGGTGTCCTTTCACAGCTCTCTAGTTTTGGCCATGGTGGAGTTTAGAGTGTGACTGTTTGAGGTTGTGGACAGGTGTCTTTTATACTGATAACGGGTTCAAACAGGTGCCATTAATGAAGGTAACGAGTGGAGGACAGAGGAGCCTTTTACAGAAGAAGTTACAGGTCTGTGAGAGCCAGAAATCTTGCTTGTTTGTAACTGACCAAATACTTATTTTCCACCATATTTTGCAAATAAATTCTTTAAAAATCAGACAATGTGATTTTCTGGATTTTTTTTCTTATTTTGTCTCTCATAGTTGAGGTATATCTATGATGAAAATTACCGGCCTCTCTCATCTTTTTAAGTGGGAGAACTTGTACTATTGGTGGCTGACTAAATACTTTTTTGCCCCACTGTAAATGTATGTACTGGAATGGAAGAGGGAAAACCTACGTTCCGTTCAGAGCCTTGAGGCTGGCCACCCGGTCCTGGAAGCCGTGGGCCCACAGGCTCGGCACGTCGTCATCCACGATCTCCATCTTCCTGCCGGTGAAGCCAGGGTTCTCGTAGAGGTGCAGCTTGTGTTCAACACCATCCTGAACAGGAAGAAGCAGGAATCGGGTCCGGTTGATGATCTGTGGTCCGGCTGTGGGAGGACCAGACCTTGACGAGTCACTCACCACCTTCAGGGGCCTCAAGGACAGCAGGGAGAAGCTGCGCTGACTGTTGGTCCAGGTGTCCCAGCGTGGATACTCGCCTTTCTCCAGAATGAACTGCTCTCCTTTGAAGCCATGCCCGTCATAACCCACCCAGCTGAAAGACCATTTGGGGGATTAACTTTATCATTATCCATGTCACATATTTCCAGGGCACTAAAAGAGCATTACTCACGGCCCTGAGTCCACGATCACAGAGCCGACCTTCTCCGGTCCTTTCTCTGTTACGTCTTTGCACTCTGCAGAAAACTCCGCCTTGCAGCCCTGGAAGTTCTCAAACTCAAACACGACCACCTGGACAGAAACACTGGCAGATGTCAACACTTCATAGAACTGAAAGCAAAGGTCAGCCCTGGTTTGGACCAACTAGGTTTCCAGCTACAGTACCTTATATGCGACTCCAGCTCCACCCTGGCTCTTCCCAGCAGCCAGCTGATCTGTGGCGTTCTGCTGGTCCGACATCCTCCTGGTCCGCTGCTCCTCCACTTTATGGGACACAAAGCAAGATCCACGGTGAACAAGCATGCAACCACAGAGAGAAGGACAGAGGACTCAGGTCAGGGCTGCAGTTATCATTTTTTCCTCCTCTAGCAGATTATTCTGAAGTCTCCATGACAGACGGTCCAAACTGTATCTCCACCATCTAGTCCCAGGAGTTCATAAGCCATGGTTATTGATCCCTTAGGGTCCAGAACTCAGCTATTGTTTACCTGGGTATGCCTACGAGGAAGTGGTAGCGTCCCTCTTACTTGGTGCCACTTGGCGTTTGATGGGGTCGAGGCATTAGAGGGCAGAGGGGAGGAGGGGGGGTATTTATGGTTTATTTCTGACCACAGCAGCAGAAAAGGGGGAGCTGTTGATACAGCAAGTCTGTGGCTCACATTGTGTCTGTAACGCCGCCTCTCAATAGGCAGCTGTGTTGGCACAGGCTGCCCTGCGCGTCCAGCTGGGCTGCCAGCGAGCACTGAGGGTGGGCAGACGCTCAGCGAGCCAAGAGGATTCAGCAAACAGGCCGGTTCAGCACAAACAGCCCTGCAATATCCCACCTTTTACATACGATCACACTGCAACCAAAACCCTCGGCATATTTTATTAGGATTCTACACAAAAAAACATACGTAAGCAGCAATATATGCATTTATTTTAAAATATCTTTATAGTACATTGTCCATATCTTTTGCTCTACTCCAGGACCCCTTGATGAATCCAGAGGAATCGCCTGCTTTCATGAGTCACGTAATCCTCAATGTCAGTCTGTCATTCTGACCCACTGGAGAACTTTGTCCAGAACCGGGAGATCGGACCTCTGTGGGGGGGCTGGAAGACGGCCCTCAAGCCATTAAGGGAGCACAGCAAACACGCAAAAACAGGTGCGCTGGTCGGAGGAGAGATAAATGTTTTTTTATGGCCTAACATGCAGAAAACGAGATGGCAAAAAAGGCTTAGAACCTCTGAACATGATAAAGGCTGAATCATGCTGTGGGCTGGTTTTCTCTAGCAGGGACAAGGAACCTGATCCCATTAAACCTTCCTTTTTAATCTAGTGTCCCAGTTAAACCGGTGTGGTCAGAAAATTTGGTTTCTCTTATTTCATATATTAATTTATGCTATTAACTCACTATAAAAGTTTTCACAATTACCCTGCGTCAGGGCATTTGTAGACCAGACATACCTTCTTCCCAAAACCAGATTTTTTCTAAAAGTTTATTTATAACACGTTAGTGTTTAACCAAAGTGTCTGTAATTTGTTTTGACTCGGACTACTTTCCATTGTTGTAAGTAAGGGGAACACACTCTGCCCAGGCAGAACAGGGCTGATTACCGAGCAGTAACGGCTGTATGATGAACAGTTACCCAAAGGCCTTTACCTTGAAGCAGGATTACACGCCTAGCGATACATCTGGTCTGGAGGTTTAACTCAGACTTTCCGGTGCCATGAAGTTTGTTTTATTCTTAGCGATGCTAGTTTCGTGCCTTTTCATTGAAGACTGACTGACGTCTGAGTGCAAATGGTGAGAAGAGTGTGGAGACAGGAGCCATCTTACAGGATCGATATGATCTGTTGGGTCACAATAACAATTCTTCAATTCAATTCAGTTTATTTCTATAGCGCCAATTCACAACACATTATCTCAAGTCACTTTACAGAGACAATTTATCCAGATCATACAGTCCGATTGGTTCAGTTTTCCATCTAAGGAAAACCAGTCATAAAACAGGACAGATGGACGTAGAATTCAAGGTGAGGGAGTCAGTAGGAAAGTTCAACATTTCTGATAAAATAAAAAAAACTGAAACAAAACTGTGGAGCTGAAGGGGCGGGGCGCTACCCATCACTGACTCTGGAGGGAGAAACACAGGTTAGTGACCACGATCATCTGACAGGAGATGATGATATGAGTGAGTCACATACCTGGTTTCACTATTTACCCATCCTCCTTTAAGAGGTGCCAAACCAGACGCGGTGTGATTCACCCAGAGTGTCCCTGATGCTGCAGCCCTGGAGAACTTGCAGGAAGCCGATCCAGGTCAGCGGAAGACAGAGCAGACAGGAACAGTTCAGGAATACAGGAAACCTCCACTCGATCAGAAGTTCCAACCCAGAACAGAGCAGAGGTATCCAGGCTTCCAGGAATCCTTACAGTGTGAAGGCAGGTTCCCAGTCAGACGGGTCCAGAAGCATGCCCAGACAGATGCTTTGATGTAGACAGGCAGACTCCAGTAGGAGTCCAAGGATGGTTCAGGCGAACAGATCGGAATCAGGAAATCAGAATCACTAAGGAAACGCTCTCATCACTGGCTAGGGAATAAACTCACCAGAGGACAAGGGCTCAAGAATAATCTCCTACTGTAAACGGGGACATGAAATTACCTAGGAAATAACTAAAACTAAGGAAACCGACAGACAGGAGAAACAGAAATCAAAGATCTGGCCTCGATAGCTGGGCTGGACCGAATATTAAGCAGAACCAACAGGTGGATGAGATGAGAGATGATTAGAGACCGGGCAGAATAAAGCAGGTGAACGACATGAACAATTAAGGCCAGCTATCAGGGCAGATCATGCAAAACCAGCTGATTGCATCGACTCATTGACTCTTCAGCAATCCCTCACACTAAGCATGCTTGTAGCGACAGTGGAGAGGAAAAGCTCCCTTTGAACAGGAAGAAACCTCCAGCAGAACCAGGCTCAGTGTGAGCGGCCATCTGCTGAGGCCCACTGGGGTTCAAGGAGACAGAAGCAGACATAGAAAAAGAAGCAGAAAAGACCCCCCCCCCCCCCCCCCCCCCAAAAAAAAAAAAAAAAAAAAAAACAAGAGATACAAAAGATATGAAAGATATCCTCATCGCTATGCAGGTGGTCAAACATCAATCCTGTAAACCAGGCCAATAATGACCCTAACGAGTCCCCAATACTGAGGAGTGGACCTGTTTCGGTTAAATTTGCATGTTTTCTAAGCCATAACAAGGCTTTTGTTAGGCCACTCTAGGCTACTCCAGACATTTTTAATTGGGAAAGCTTTCTGGATAGGAAGCGAAACGTCTTCAAACTTGGAAAAAAAGTCCAGTGGATTGTTTTATTTTAACCTTTCTGGAACTTTAAGTGGGTCGTTCTGTCAGCTAAAGGCATGTTTTACAGTCTCTATACTCCAGTTACAGATGAATAAATAAGTAGATTAGTTGACAATCAAATCCGATTAGTTGTTTCAACCCTACTGCAAATATAACCCCTTGCTCACACAGGCTCCGGTGCGGTTACCGAGCCGACGGAGACCGCAACTCCCGCACACCCCCTCTCACACCGCCCTTTTGACTACGGTGCGGTGCGGCTCTGGCAACAGGTCCGGAGATTTAACAGAAGTTCACTTGAGTTCACGTAACTTCACGCGATAAAACGGCCCAAATAAGGATATTTGCGAGAGTTTGTTGCGGAGGGCTCCGGCACGCCGCAAGGATAGCTTTCTTGCGGAATTTTCTGCAGCGCCGGAGTGTCTCGGTAACCGCAGCCGGACAGCTCAGCTGCCAGTGAGAGAGGTTTACGTCTTCTTAATGACTTGGAATCACTGCAGCACCGCACCCACCGCACCGCAACGGTAAGACCGGAGTCGGTGTGAGCCTGGGGTAATAATAGTTTCTGTTGACTGAATGTGGGATAACTGGCCCTGAGGGAATGCACATGTAGGGCCGCTGGAAGTCATTTCAAACAGGAGGTTCTGTGAAAAATGTTTTCTTTTGGACAATTGACCTATCAGCCTGTAAGGCGATTTAAAATAAAATAAAAAAAAGAAAATTGATTGAGATTCCCTACTTTATTGTCATATACACTTCAGTGCAACCAGGGTCTGTCATCATCAGTTCTCAGGTGAATATATGCACCATTAATTAAACTTCATTAAACAATAACACTAAAACTAGGTGGATTAGGTCAGCTGGCAGGAACCTGGCCAGGTAAAAGAGATTTTTAATCTCAATGGGACTTTTCCTGGTGAAATAAAGGAAAGAAAGAAATATTATTATACTGTTCAAACGTTATTGAACGGTTCTACATTATAGTTCTCCAAGAACACAGGATCAGAATAACACTCTTAAAATACGATGGTTGTTAAACTGGATATGAAAGCGTACGACGGCACCATGCAGTTACTTAGCAGGGGGCCCTGGTTACGCGCTAGGTTGGATTGTGGGTGCTGGGGCTGCCGGTGCGACTCTTATCAGAGGTGGTTGGACAGTGTCCTTGCTCAGATCTAAAATGCGTTTCTCTGCCATATTTCCTCCTTACACTGTGTTAATTTACTAATCTGCTGCTGCCACCTGATATACAGGTGCTGGTCATAAAATTAGAATATCATGAAAAAGTAGATTGATTTCAGTAATTCCATTTAAAAAGTGAAACTTGTATATTATATTCATACATTACATACAAACTCATATATTTCAGATGTTTATTTTGTTTAATTTTGATGATTACAAATGACAACAAATGAAAATCTCAAATTCATCATATCAGAAAATTAGAATATTGTGAAAAGGTTCAAAATTGATGGCCCCTGGTGCCACACTCTAATCAGCTAATTAACTCAAACCACCTGCAAAAGCCTTTAAATGGTCTTTCAGTCTAGTTCTATAGGCTACACAATCATGGGGAAGACTGCTGACTTGACAGTTGTCCAAAAGACGACCATCGACACCTTGCACAAGGAGGGCAAGACACAAAAGGTCATCGCTAAAGAGGCTGGCTGTTCACAGAGCTCAGTGTCCAAGCACATTAATAGAGAGGCGAAGGGAAGGAAAAGATGTGGTCGAAAAAAGTGTACAAGCAAGAGAGATAACCGCACCCTGGAGAAGGATTGTGAAACAAAACCCATTCAAAAATGTGGGGGAGATTCACAAAGAGTGGACTGCAGCTGGAGTGAGTGCTTCAAGAACCACCACACACAGACGTATGAAAGACATGGGTTTCTGCTGTCGCATTCCTTGTGTCAAGCCACTCTTGAACCACAGACAGCGTCAGAAGCGTCTTGCCTGGGCTAAAGAGAAACAGGACTGGACTGCTGGTGAGTGGTCCAAAGTCATGTTCTCTGATGAAAGTAAATTTTGCATTTCCTTTGGAAATCAAGGTCCCAGAGTCTGGAGGAAAAGAAGAGAGGCACTTCATCCACGTTGCTTGAAGTCCAGTGTAAAGTTTCCACAGTCAGTGATGGTTTGGGGTGCCATGTCATCTGCTGGTGTTGGTCCATTGTGTTTTCTGAGGTCCAGGGTCAACGCAGCCACATACCAGGAAGTTTTAGAGCACTTCATGCTTCCTGCAGCTGACCAACTTTTTGGAGATGCAGATTTCATTTTCCAACAGGACTTGGCACCTGCACACAGTGCCAAAGCTACCAGTACCTGGTTGAAGGACCATGGTATCCCTGTTCTTAATTGGCCAGCAAACTCTCCTGACCTTAACCCCATAGAAAATCTATGGGGTATTGTGAAGAAGAAGATGCAATACACCAGACCCAACAATTCAGAAGAGCTAAAAGCCACTATTAGAGCAACCTGGGCTATCATAACACCTGAGCAGTGCCACAGACTGATCGACTCCATGCCACGCCGCATTGCTGCAGTAATACAGGCCAAAGGAGGCCCAACTAAATACTGAGTGCTGTACATGCTCATACTTTTCATGTTCATACTTTTCAGTTGGCCAACATTTCTATAAATCCTTTGTTTTTATTGGTCTTCAGTAATATTCTAATTTTCTGATATGATGAATTTGAGATTTTCATTTGTTGTCATTTGTAATCATCAAAATTAAACAAAATAAACATCTGAAATATATGAGTTTGTATGTAATGTATGAATATAATATACAAGTTTCACTTTTTAAATGGAATTACTGAAATCAATCTACTTTTTCATGATATTCTAATTTTATGACCAGCACCTGTATCTATTCCACTAGCATGCTTGACATCGCCATGATAATGTAACTTCCATAAAAAGTTTCTTTATAATTAATAATTAAATTAAAATCCAAAGACACGTAATAGTAAAATTAAAAAGGTGAAGGCAAAGTACAAATTTGTAAAGTATGAAAAGTAATGCATTTAAAAAAAAAATCTCCCTCTAATGATTTCCAAGAAGTTTATCTAATTGGGACAGTTTCTCTGTCAGGATATTGTTATCATGTTAATTATGTGTATAGCACAGATTTGGTAATGATGTCAGCTAAAACATTTCTCAGGAAGCTAAATATTTATTTTCCAAACTAAATAGCTTCATCTGGTCTGTTCCTGTTTGGCTGTGACTCCATCCTGGAGAGAAACATCAGCTGTGCTGCTGCCATCAACACCTTTGTTTCTAGATGTTGGAGCTTGGCCTGTTTTCCAGTGTAGTCCTGTTTCTCTGACTGTGACTAACTGGATGTGCTCTCTTCATCCTCTGACATGGGAGCTGGCTCGGAGCTCGTCTGCCTGGCTGTGTGTTTCCTGGACGGGTCCGCCTGTGGAGCTGGTTGTATCTATGCTTCTTTTTCTATGTCTGCTTCTGTCTCCTTGAACCCCAGTCGGCCTCGGCAGATGGCCGCTCACACTGAGCCTGGTTCTGCTGGAGGTTTCTTCCTGTTAAAAGGGAGTTTTTCCTCTCCACTGTCGCTACAAGCATGCTTAGTGTGAGGGATTGCTGAAGAGTCAATGAGTCGATGCAATCAGCTGGTTTTCCTTTGATAGAAAACTTTGAATCAATCTGACTGGATGATCTGGTGAACTGGAAAGTGACCTGAGATGACATGATGTGAATTGGAGCTATAGAAATACACTGAATAGAATTGCCCATGTACTGAATGTGCTATACAAACTTGCCTTGGAACAGATGAAGGTTCCCAGTATAGAACCAAGAGGCTCCAGTAGAGTTTCTAATTCTACCCCCTAAATCTCATTAAAATGCTCCCAATCTGCAGAACTCTGCTAATCCTGAATGACTGCGATTCAGGAGAACATCTATGAGACTATGTCTAGGAACAGAACCTGGATGCGGTTAGAGGACTGATCAGGTGCTGGATCAGACATGGATGGAAGACTGATCCAGTGTGAGCGAGCCTGGAGCGTTCAGCTAAAGATGAAACCTCCAGAGGTTTTCTGCCGTTAGCAGCAGAATGTTCAGAGCTTCCAGGGTTCAATAATCTCAAACATGCATCACTGACCAAAAGAACCAACATCAAAGCCGAGCTCAGGCTCCAACTCCAGGCCACTTCATGTTTTATTAAGAATTTATTTGCTGTAGGACACCGCGTCAGAAAAACTCAGTGTAACAAACATGGTTACTTTAAAAAAAAAAGGAAAAGAGACATAAAAATAACCCCCATATTTCAAGACAAAAAGTTCATTTACATCCAACCCAAGGACAGCGGCTCCATCAGAACAGAACCCAGCAGGGAGGGGGCAGACGTCGAGTGCTGCAGTGCATCAAAGTGCTTTGTGGAAGTGGAAGGCTGCCGGCGCCGAGCGGGTCCAAGACATTTAACCAGAGCGGGACGCGATCGGGTCCAACTCTGGGACACGGGCGGCACCGGCCCGGATGAGACGGGGCGATTGTTCACGCACACTGAACACAGGGGGGGCGATTGCACGTGGACCGGCGAGATGTGGCGGTATGGCTTCGGATGGGTGCTAGCAGCTAGTAGCCTCCGGTCTGTCAGAGGAAGGAGAACAGACGATTGTTGTCGTGTTTGTGCTGATCCGATTGTTCCCTTCAAAGCTCCTCGTTCCCTCATTATGAAAAACAGCTAAGAATCAAGCTTGAGTACAATCTGCAGCGGCTGTGGAGTGATTCAGGGTGGAAGGGCCAGGAGCCTCCGGCGTAGGGACAACGGCGCTTCCTCTGCTGTTTCCTACACCGAGTGATGGAGCTGCATGAGGAAGTCAGTCTCAGTCTCATCTGAAGGTGCAGCAGAACTTCCAGCAGGAAGTGGACAGGAAGCAGAAACTGTTCCTTGCTTGTTTTCTTTTTTCCTTTTTGTCAGTCAGCTTTAAAAAAGGCACCATGCACATTTATAAACCCAGAGAGGGAGAAAAATAACAACAAAAATATTTGGAAAAATAATAATCTATCAGCAGCTTGAGATCCAGGCTCCCTCCTTCTCCTCTGGATCAAACGTTAAGGCTTCTAGTTCTCAGGTTCATCTGTTAAGGCAACCTGAAGCAGAAAACAACGTTAACCCAGGATGATGATTGAAAGCGAGGTCCACTCAAACGGACGGAGACCTTTTACCTCGCTGCTCCTCTAGCTCTCGCTCTCATAGTGACTCAGACGCTTCTTGGATTTCAGCTCCTTCAGCCACTGGGGGGAGTCCTCCTCGCTGCGGGAGATAAACCAGTTAGCCTGAGGAGCTAAACACAAGGTTAGCAGGAGTAGGCAGTGTGGGAGTTTCTCACCCGTTCTCCTTCCCACCAGCAGGGGGCAGCACCCGCGCTGCACGAGGAAGGAAGGGAGACCTGGGAGAGCGGGCCGGGTGCGATGGAGGGGGGGCGGGCCCGTCGGTCTGATTGTCAGAGTCGCCTCGCTTCTTCAGCTGCGCCTGAGACCAAGGGAGAAAATAGAAAATAAGAAAAACACGAGATAAACTATTTTTTCTATATCAGGAGGGATTTTATGTGATAACTAAATTTAAAGCAGAACTTTGAGGAGGAAGAAACAAACAATAAAAGTTGTGATGTGGAGGCGTGTTCGGCCCCCTTTACTTCGACACTCCTAAAAAAACCAAAAACAATAAAATGTTTGCATCATCTGACGGCGCGCTGGGTTAGACAGCGGCGAGTGGCCCATAGGGGGCGCTCTGGCGCTGCCTCCCAAGATGTGGAGGGGAAAAATCATAATGTCAGTTTTACTTAATAGGATGTGGCTATATGTAATATAAATTATTAAAACACTTCTACCTATTACATTCTATTCAGTTTATTTCTATAGCTCCAATTCCCATCATGTCATCTCAGGTCACTTTCCAGTTCACCAGATCATCCAGTCAGATTGATTCAAAGTTTTCTATCAAAGGAAAACCAGCTGATTGCATCGACTCATTGACTCTTCAGCAATCCCTCACACTAACTGACTCTCATTCAACAGAACGGATCATTTCTGTCATTCAAGGCGCCCCTGAAGTGTAGCTAAATAACCAATTGTGTGATGTTGCTAGGGAAAGTTGATAAATATTTGACCAATCAGCATCGCCACAATAAATGGCTTTGGGGCTCCTGGCATTTTGGGCCCCACTACAGAGATATAGGTGATGGAGCCAGTAGTGAGTCAGGCAGGAGAGATTATGGCGACGACAGCTGAACTTGAAGAGCAGCTTTCACACAATTCACTGAGATCTTAACGAGTTACCATTTCACTAGAAGGATGATGGTGGAAAAAAATCTACGTAAAGGAGCCGGGACCCGACAAGCCCGAAATAAATTTAACTCAGCGAACCAAGGAAAAATCTCAGTCCTACAACTGGACTTTTAGCAGAAGTTGGTTCCAGCTTGAATCGTGGCTCTCAGCCTGGAGGACGGCTAGCCTGGGTGCCATTCCGAACTTAGTCCCGCCCACAAGGTTTGAGGTCGGGAAGTTCAGTCTGGCTCTGCTCCATAGTAGCGCGAGTATTATTGCCCACTGTCAGGCGATCCAATCAAATTGTCAGGGCGGGCTTTATACGATGATGGACAGATGACCAACAGTAACGTAATCAACCACGTGACCAATGCGCGCTTGGGTGACAACAATAATGGCTGCCGCTGGAGAGTTGAGGTGAGTAGATTCTGCTATTAGGTCTGTTCTAGAAGATATCGACAGCAAATTAATTTTAAAAGAGGAACAGAGAAACGCGATCAAGTTTCATCTTCTTATTATAGGCGTGCAACTGCACGCTTTGATTTTTGTGGACAACAACTCTGCCTCGCTTAACATGCGTCACGCACTCCGTTGCTCTTATTGGTTGTAGGTCTATCCAATTGAGTGCAGAGGCATTTTTTTTCCTGGTTCGTTCGAAACACGCCCCATAATCACAGCTCTATGGAGCAGCATCAGGCTCATTCTGACTAGAATTGAGTTGGACTACGTCAGGCTAGAGGACGGCTGGTTAGGGGTGTAAATCATCCATCATGGCGATTCGATTCAGTATCGATTTCCTGACCAAACGATTCGATTATTTTCAAGAATACACCATGATACGATTCGATTAACTGGTTCGATGCATCGGATCGTCCGCTGTTGGATCGATGCATCGATACAAAACCATTATTATTTACACCCCTACAGCTGATGCACTTTTTGCTTTCCCTGCATTCCTTTTAAAAGCGAGCGGAGTGATTTGACGTGGACACGATCTGGACGGAGACTTAAAACACGTCTCCGACAGGGAGGACGGATTTAAAGCACGTTTTAGAAAAGGCGAAGAGGAATGAACAAACTGGGATTCATGTGGAAAATAATGGAATTTTTTTCTAGACGTTTGTTCATTTGCAACCAAAAATAAACTCTTAAATAAACACTTTCTCAGAAAATAGTTTTTATATATAAAAAAAATCAAAAGCTGACTAATAGCTTCTCCATTATTAAACTGGTAGATTATTTTCTTAGGTTTGTGACGCCATATTGGAGCATGATAAACACAGATTTATCTTCACAGCCTCAGAAGAGCAAGATTTATTTATTTATTTTTTATTTTTGAGTTTTTTTACGGCCCCACTGGCCTGTTTATGGACAATAGGCTGAGAGGAAAGGGGGTATGAGAGGGAAAGAGACATGCGGCAAAGACCACAGGTTCACTAACCACTGAGCCACCAAAGCACGGCCCAAAGGACATGAACCTATGTTTTGTTTTTATAGTGTTTTTATGATGTTTTTTGGTGTTGGGATTCATATAAATATGGATGTGGTGTGATAACTTAGTATACGTTTGATGGGTTTTTGGTATATGTCTATTCTGGATTTATTTTTTTCCCCCTGGAGAAAGCTCCAGCAGCCGCCGCGGTGCGTTAGAGGTCCAGCTTCACTGACGTACAGAGTCGCTACGTGGAGGAGGAGAGACACAGCAGCACTCAGTGATCATTAACCAGCAGCTACTTTGATGTTTAAGTCAAAGTTAGGAGACTGATGGTTAAAAAAATTAGAGATGCCACCGAAAAAAATCACTTCATTAGACATACGGAGCTTTTTCAGCTAAAATGGCAACAGATAGTAAGTTTATATTAACCTGAGTCCGTCCGATGGATTTGCTCCGCATATCCATCTGGAAACCTTCCGTTGAAGTAATTTTGGGAAGGGGCGAAAATACTGGTTAGCTGATTGGCCTATGTTGGTGATAGACGGGCCAAATAAACCAATCAGACCAAACGAAGCATATGACGTACTAACAGCCAGGCTACTCTTGCCGAAACCAGTCGGGAGAAGAGCAAAAACAGCTTTCCCTCTGAGAAAAGCCTCCAGAGCAGTGTTTTGCTCTTCTTTCAGTGAAGAAATACTCTGTAATTCCGATAAAACTTGCTCGATAGCCACGCTAACGCTAGTTTCATCGGCTGAAGCCGCCATGTTCTTTAGACTGAACTGTGGCGCTTCTCGTTGCGTCACACCTCAACCCGCCTCAAAGCCAACGCTGATTGGACGTTCGTTTGGTGAACGGCTCCAGATTTTCTTTAACGGAGAGTCTCCAGACTGATCTGCGAGTGAAACCTTGAAAGTTCGCGGGATCAGGATGGTCTCACCAGGCTAAGTTTATACCAGTTAGTAATATAATGCAAGAAGCTTGAGGAGTCCTACCGACTCCATCAAAGCTGACGCTCCAGTTTTTGGGTCGATCAAATCCCCTGAGAGAGCTGCTGACCCACCTTTAACGCTGAAGCATCCATTCCTGGGAACAGCGCCACCCTCTGTGGTTGCTGGGGAAGCACCGTGGCGCCGTCGGCCCCTTTGCTCGGCCCCTCAGTCTCGGAGTCGTCGTTCCTGCTCTCTGCCTTCGCCTCTGTGGTGAAGAAAGCTCAGATCAGGAGATGTTCTACCAAACGGCCCGGTTACTCTGGGTCTGGGTTTACCTGTGGAGTCTCTGTACAGCCAGTCCTCTGGCTTTCCTTCGTCAGCCTGAGTCGGCGGCGCCTTGGACGGCCGGGTCCGCGGGGCCCGTTTCTTCCCCAGCTGGGCGCGGGAGCGCAGAGCGCTGTTATCCAGCAGGACCATCGGAGCCTGGAGGTTTGGATCAGGAACAGAAATAGCAGAAATGAGAGGAGAAGTGACTCTGGAGAATTTCAGGTCCAAACTGGTCGAGTCCAGGTCCAAACTGGTCGAATCCAGGTCCAAACTGGTCGAATCCAGGTCCAAACTGGACTCGACCAGGTCCAAACTGGTCCAAACTGGACTCGACCAGGTCCAAACTGGTCGAATCCAGGTCCAAACTGGTCGAATCCAGGTCCAAACTGGTCGAATCCAGGTCCAAACTGGTCGAATCCAGGTCCAAACTGGACTCGACCAGGTCCAAACTGGTCCAAACTGGTCGAGTCCAGGTCCAAACTGGTCAAAACTGGTCGAGTCCAGGTCCAAACTGGTCCAGTCCAGGTCCAAACTGGTCGAGTCCAGGTCCAAACTGGTCCAAACTGGACTCGACCAGTCCAGGTCCAAACTGGTCGAGTCCAGGTCCAAACTGGTCCAAACTGGTCGAGTCCAGGTCCAAACTGGTCGAGTCCAGGTCCAAACTGGTCCAAACTGGTCGAGTCCAGGTCCAAACTGGTCCAAACTGGTCGAGTCCAGGGTCCAAACTGGTCGAGTCCAGGTCCAAACTGGTCGAGTCCAGGTCCAAACTGGTCGAGTCCAGGTCCAAACTGATCGAGTCCAGGTCCAAACTGGTCGAGTCCAGGTCCAAACTGGTCGAGTCCAGGTCCAAACTGGTCGAGTCCAGGTCCAAACTGGTCGAGTCCAGGTCCAAACTGGTCGAGTCCAGGGTCCAAACTGGTCGAGTCCAGGTCCAAACTGGTCGAGTCCAGGTCCAAACTGGTCGAGTCCAGGTCCAAACCGATCGAGTCCAGGTCCAAACCGATCGAGTCCAGTTCCAAACTGGTCGAGTCCAGCTCCAAACTGATCGAGTCCAGGTCCAAACTGGTCGAGCCCAGGTCCAAACTGGTCGAGTCCAGGTCCAAACTGGTCGAGTCCAGGTCCAAACTGGTCCAAACTGGACTCGACCAGTCCAGGTCCAAACTGGTCGAGTCCAGGTCCAAACTGGTCCAAACTGGTCGAGTCCAGGTCCAAACTGGTCGAGTCCAGGTCCAAACTGGTCGAGTCCAGGTCCAAACTGGTCGAGTCCTGGTCCAAACTGATCGAGTCCAGGTCCAAACTCACATCAGGGAAGTCAAGCGGCTGAACTTCAGAGGAGGACGAGTGTCCGTCTGGAGCAGAGGCCTGAGGGCCTGGCGAGGGCAGCGGGGTGTGCTTCCTGGGCGAGGCGCTCCGGGTGCTCTCTGAACTGTGGGAGGCAGGGGTGAGGCTGCAGAGAAAACCAGCTCTGGGTTAGAGAGGATACTGGGAGCACTGGGAGGAGCAAAGTTAAACTCCAGCCCGTTCTGAAAACTACTGGACCTCCAGAACCAGGAGCCACACTGCAAAAACAATCTAGAAATGAGCAAAAATGTCTTAAATTAAGTGTGTTTACCGTTCATCTGAGTAGGTTAATGAGATGATCTGCCAATGGAACGAGCATTTTTATTCTTAAAAACAAGATATTTAGATAAAATGTACTTGAAATAAGACAATGCAATTGTGTTTTCTTCTTTTAAAAGTAAATCGTCTTGTTCTATTGGCAAAGTGTCTCTTTTACTTCATCAATTCAAGAACAAATGCATTTTGATTTTTTTTTCAAGTGCAGATACAGAATCAACTGGTATCTACTGGGTCAGAAGATGGGGACCGTGGTCAGACCCGTTTATCAACCAAGAACTCCTGCTAAGGAGTCAATATGGGCCGTCTGAGGGGAACTGGGTGGAGGAACCAGTGTGGGTCAGAACCTTTATGGAAATAGAGCCAAAAGAAGACAGACAGACTTCCTGAAGACATCAGAGGTGTGGACCTTCATTATGGAGGACGTCCAACAACTCCTCCTGCATGAGCAACGAGGCAGAGCTCAATCCAACTGGACCCATTCATCCCTGAAATACCAGGGAGTGTAGAAAAGCTGGAGGAGGGATCACTTTAGGAAGTGCTGGACCTGAAGCAGTGGGTGGGGGTTTTTACGGGTCAGTCAGTCTCATCTCAGATGTTCTGATCAGATGAGGTCACTAAAGAACTAATCCTGGTTCTCTGGTTTTTCTCTCTGCCTTTCTATGTTTAATATTTGCCAATAACATCAGGCTGCTGGGGATCCGCCCTCTGCTGACGGACAGCAGCAGGAACCACCTGAGCCCGCCTCACTGGGCCACATGGTGGCAGGCTGCGACCAGGCTGCAGCACTTCCTGCTTCCCTGCCATTGGTTCCTGCCTGGCTTCCTGGAGGTGGAACCAAGGATTAAGGGGACTAAAGGCTCTGATCCCCCCCACTGGGTTGGCCATGGAGGTCACCTGGGGGGGGTGATGGTCCAATTAAGCAATAAATAACACTTATTAACCGTTAATCAGCCTTTAACTAAATATTAAATGTTAATAAAAAATTAATTAATCATTAATTATCTACTAAATAACTTGACAAACATTCAGCCTTTGGGGGGGGTAATCCGGCGGCAGTTTTAATGTTTTTTTTTATTTGAGGTCTGTGATATTCAGACGGGCCGGAACCAGAACCCTACTTCACAGGGTGAGGCGTTAGCCAATCAGAAGCCAGATTTCCTGATTGACGTGTGTTTACCTGTCGTCGGTCCGCAGGCCCGTGTCCCAGGTCCCGTACTGACTGTCGGCGTCCCGGACCGGAGTTCCCGAGTCTCTGCGGTCCGATTCTCCACTCTGCTTCTGCTGCACCTGGAGTCCAGAACGGGAGAGAAAGGATGAGAGGAGAGACTGGAGGCGAGGCGGCGTCTGGTGGAGGATCCTGATCCTGCCTCTCTGCAGCGCACAGAACCCCAGCGGGTCAGTAACCGGGTCACCTCTGGCGCCCATGGGGCTCCTCCCGCTCCGCTCTGAGAATCAGACTAAAGTGGCGTCATCAGAACCTCCCAACGAGGCGCATGGCGGCTCCGTTTGAACGACCCGTTCTGAGATGCGTCAGAACCTGGAGTCCAATAACTGATCAGAGGTGGTTCTGGTCGGGGAACCAGGAGACCAGGAAGTCCAAACAGGAGCCGTTTGAAACCCAATGATCTTCAAACTCAGTAGGGACGCTGTTAGAGTTCGTTCTCAGGCTCTATGGAGACCACAGGAAATCTGCTCAGCTCCTCCCCCACCTGTTGCTGCACAGCAGCCTGCTCAATGCCCAGCTTCTATCGCCCAGCAAAGCCTGAGGAGGTCAAAGATGAAGCTTAATGGAGACGTGCCAGAGGGGGGGGCTGAACCAGAACCACAGAGACATCAACTAACCCTCTGGTCCGTGCCGCCTGACGGCCGAAGAGAGAACGGTGAGACACCTGGAAAAGCGGCGACGGCGGCGCCCTGACTCCACAGAGCGGCCAGCAGGGTGTGAGCCCAGAGGATGTTAGAGGCGACAGGAACCTGAGAGCGGGCAGAACTTTAAGGTCAAAATGTTCAGCACGTGTCCCACAGCTCCTCCCCCCACCCGGCTCAGAGACGCTGTTCTCACAGGTCTCCTCTGGAACCGGCGTTCTGGGCGGGTTTTCTGGCGGAGAGCCCTGATCCCATGAAGCCGCTCCTGTTCCTCCACCTGAACGCTCCCAGCGCTCCCACACCTCATCAGCGCCGTGTTGCTGGGACATGTTGGACTAAAGCTCCATTATTCCTTTCTAAGCTAAGCTAAGCTAAGCCCCAGAAAAGGCAGATTTGATGCCAACAATCAGAACTGCTCCTTATTTCCATCAGCGTCCTCTGAGCAGTGAGGGCGGGGCCAGAGGGAGCGGATGGAGGTAACGGGCCGAACAACAACCTCATGGAAACTGATGGAAGGGCCCCACGGCGCCGCGGCCTGCAGCTCCGCCCAGACCACCAGGCGCCAGGATGGTTTTCACCTGTTTGGACTCAGAGCCCGGCGAAGCTCTCACCCGTTTCTATTCAGCAAACACGTCTTCTACGATGGGAGGGGAAACGGACCCCGGTTTAAGAAATGAAAGAAACGTCGCCAACGGAAGGCGGGAGGAACCCGACGGAGAACGATCCGTCACCAGGAGGTCAAAGAGCTTCTAGAACCGTTTTAAAGTCGGGTCTCTGAGAGACAGAGCTCCTTATGCTAATACCTGACTCCCTGGAACCAGTTTGGACTGGTCTCTACCAGTTAGACATGGAGTATCAGTGGGATCTAGAGCTGAAGTTTGACTAGGCCATTCTATAAGCCTGTTTCTGCGTTGAAGAGGAGATCCCAGAATCCCCACAGCCTTCCACGCTGTCTGCAGCAGATTGTTCAAAGTTCAGCGTCCGTCACGTCCAACCGGACCGCCGTCTCTGAGCGCAACTAGAACTTCCTCTGATTCTAGATCAGGAAACCTAAAGAGATAACGGATCACTGAAGGAACTGATCCTGGTCCTCCCAGAAACCAAGTCAGGATTAAATCCGTCTCTAATCAGCTGCTCCATGTTTCCAGGTGAACTGGGAGGCTAAACGCCGTTTATACCGAGCTACAGATCTATTTCCTCTGCTGCGTGACTCAAGCCACAGCCCTGCAGCAGCCGACGCCTGTGCAGACATGCATCCTGCAGCGCAGCATGCCAAACTGGTTATCTCAAGCGACACAAACAGCCGGTCATTTATACTGGGATTAAGAGATGGAGATCCCATCAGTTCCAGCTCCTAACATGAACCTGAAGGGATGTTCTCTGGATCAGTAGAAAGGAAGAGATAAAAAAGGCTCCAGAACCTGGAAATAATACTAATTATTAATAGTTATTGAGGTGGATCCCCGTCAGATGATCCCTCATGACTGAAACCAGCAGCTCTGTGGGTCGGGAGGAGCTTCATCAACGCTCCACCTGAGCTCCAGTCAGTAGCTCTCACTGCTTTCCATCAATAAGTCGCCTTAAAAACCAGTTACTGAAATAACTGACCAGTGGAACCAGTATCTGCTGAAAAGGACGGGACCATTTCCAGTTTGACCAGTCAGAACATCAATCAATCGATAAATAAACCTTGGAGGTTCGTTTAAAACGAGCTCTGAACTCCAGAAGCTAACTGGATTTGACCCGTGAGGTTTGGGAGTTCTTGTTCTCCTGGAACCGGCTGGTTGGGTCTGAGAAGCGGGCCGCCGGGCCCCGGGGACGTTTGAACAGGGGCTGCACCGATCGCAGCTTTCGGGCCGATCTTTAAAAAGTCTGACAATATCAGCAGCAATAAGATTATAGTAAATCTTTAATGTTTAGATCCTATTTTAACGTAAAACATGGAACAGTACTCTAAACCAATCAAAGCTTGAGACATGGCTGCCTGTAAACAAAACGTATTGCCTTTGACGGAGCGGATTTTCAGACCTTCGCAGAGCAGATCATCACGATACCGGCTGATTGGCCAATCAGTGCAGCCGTTCTTATGAAACACACTGGATTAGCAAAAATCGTTTACAATCTAGGATCGTAATTATCTGGTTTCCAGTTTCTGCTGCTAATTGAAGCTCAGGTGAGCTAAGCTAACGGTTCTTCTCATCAACAGATTCCAGGATGAAATCTGGAATCTGCTTCACACAAAAACAGATAAGCATAGACAGGCAGGGAGACCACCAAACAGTCGAGGAGGTGAAAACGGTGGAACTAAACAGCGGACATCAGGTTCTGGTTCTAGTGGCGGTGGGGGTGTGGCTCTTACAGCGGTGGAGGTGTCAGGTGCCATGCGTCTGCGTAGGGACAGGTGCTGCTGGCTGCGCAGGGAGAACCTGCGGATGGACTCCCTGCTGCGGGAGGCTAGGGAGCGCAAGGAGTTGGTCCTCTTGAAGTCGCCGCCGTCTTGCCCTCGTCCGCCCCTCTCCACAGAGCTGGAGAGGAAGCCGAGCGCCCCGTGAAACGAGCGCCGCACGTTTCCCACCCATCCCGAAACCTGGGAGTGAGCCACCGCCAGCTTGTCCCCGAGATAGTCCATCACGGCCTGGAGCGGACGGGAATCATCAGAGTCCAGAAACACAGAGGAGACGGCAGCAGGGTCGGCGCTGCGGAAGCCGGGAAGGTGACACCACAACAGGAGGGCTCAGCGAGCGGCGCCGGACGGAGACACGTCTAAGAGGCCTCTCTGCTGCGTCGTCCCTCTGGAGTCATCAGTACTCCTGTTTCGGCTCCACGCCGTCTGCCCCCGGCGGCTCTGCAGAGCCTCTAGTTTGCTGTCAGCTGTGCAGAGCTTGGCACAAACCCAGATGGGTTCTGCAGGACCAGGATGGCCTCAGCGTCGCCCGGCAGGCTTCTGATGGACGCCTCCAAAGGTTAAAAACTGCATCTGCCAGTAAAGGCTACATCCTTAAAGAGCCAACGTAAGCTTTGGTAGAGAAAGCTGCGCAGAGGGACACGCAGACAGTTGGAGTTGTTGGTATTCCACAGGGGAAGGACCGCAGGAGGGCTACAGCAGCCAAGAGTTCAAGAACAAAACGAGGACGGACCTCCTTCCCTCCCCGCCTCAGTCTGCAGGTACAGGCAGGTCAGAGAAAACGCAGCAGCGTTCACTTCCCAGCTACCGAATGTTACAAGACTCGCCGTCAAGGAGAAACTGGGAGGAGAGAGGGAGTGTGGAGGAGATCCAGAGAGAGAGAATGGGAGGTCCCTGATCCAGAGCAGGAGGGGGAGGGAGGGCTGATCTACGCTCTGCGGTGCTATGCTGAGCCCCAGCAGTTAGAGTGGAAGCAGATGTAGCAGAGGACAGACACGCTCCACATGTGATTTCATTACACCACAATTAGAAAGCAGGTCTGACATCAGGGAAAAGTGGAAAAACGGCTCCAGATCATAAAGACAGAGTTTGGATCACCTGCTGAACCTGCCTGACAGCCACACGCACAATGGGAGGGACGGCCCCAGGCAAACCGTGTTTGTTTAGCTCTCTGGGAGGCAAAGTTAATGCAAACATCAGAGCAGAGCTTCCTGACGGAGAGCCTCGGCCTATCAGCTGCTGCCGCTGCTGCAGGAGGACAGAGAGGGCGCGTCCAGAGGCGCTGACCTCTGAGCAAACAGCCGCTTTAAATGAGGCCCGTCCCTCCGTGCAGCTCAGGTTCACTAGCTAACGCCTCTGATGTCAACTTCAGCGTCTGCATTAAGGATTTCTACAGACAAACAAAACTAAATGATCATATCATCCAACTGGATCAGTAGAACCTGAACCTCCCACACCAGTGAACAACCCTGAAGGAAGAAACGCTCTGAGGTGTGGCGTCTGTTCCAGAGGCGGAAACTGGATCCAACAGCATCTCTGGGTCATCTGGTTCTGAACACAACAACGCTTCATGGCCAATCACAGGCAGAGAGAGGAACCGTGTGCAGTTCAAGGTTTCAGGACTGACCTCTGCAGACATCAGAAGCTTCATGCCACTCTAACAACTCTAGATCTAAGCTGAAGGTGGAGGTCACAGGTTCTGGAAAAAATTCTGTTCAGGTCCAATTCCAGCTGCCAGCAGCTTTCAAGCACAGCGCATCAACAGAACCTGGGTTCTATCCTCAGGGGAAGCTTCCCAGCAGCTTGGCTTTGGTGGTGCATTCAGGGACATCATGTTAACTACACCACCAGCTGCTCTGATTTAAAACTGTTCTGTTCTTACATTTCCTCACAGCCAAGAAGCAAAGCAGGGAATCATCAACCGACCGACTAACTGACCAAACTATCCATCCATCCATCCATCCATCCATCCATCCATCCATCATCCATTCATCCATCATCCATTCATCCATCCATCCATCCATCCATCCATTCATCCATCATCCATTCATCCATCCTCCATCCATCCATCCATCCATCATCCATCATCCATCATCCATTCATCCATTCATCCATCCATCCATCCATCCATCATCCATCATCCATCCATCCATCCATCATCCATCCATCATCCATTCATCCATCCATCATCCATCCATCCATCATCCATCCATCCATCCATCCTCCATCCATCCATCCATCCTCCATCCATCCATCATCCATCCATCCATCCATCCATCCATCCATCATCCATCCATCCATCCATCCATCATCCATCCATCATCCATCCATCCTCCATCCTCCATCCATCATCCATCCATCCATCCATCCATCCTCCATCCATCCATCATTCATCCATCCATCCATCCATCCATCATCCATCCATCATCCATCCATCCTCCATCCTCCATCCATCATCCATCCATCCATCATCCATCCATCCATCCATCCATCCATCCATTCATCATCCATCATCCATCCATCCATCCATCATCCATCCATCCATCCATCATCCATCCATCCATCCATCCTCCATCCATCCATCATTCATTATCATCCATCCATCCATCCATCCATCCATTCATCATCCATCATCCATCCATCCATTCATCATCCATCCATCCATTCATCATCCATCCATCCATCCATCCATCATCCATCCATCCATTCATCATCCATCCATCTATTCATCATCCATCCTCCATCCATCATCCATCCATCCTCCATCCATCCTCCATCCATCCATCCTCCATCCATCCTCCATCCATCCATCCATCATCCATCCATCATCCATCCATCTCTCAGATAGATGGAATTTAACAACAGTCTTAAAAATCCATCATTTTCTTCTCCTATTTTTCTCTGATAAAATCCATCACCCAGTTCTGATCGGTGCATCTTGGACCAAATACTAACAAACTTAATAGATTCCAGTTTTTCTTTGGATGTAAAATCCCCGCAGCCTTCTATGAAATTCAGCGTTTTGTTTCCTCCCAATGAGATCATCCACTTGGAGGCGACTCACAGCAGCTTCCTGTCTGACCTGACCAGTCCTAATGTAATCTCAGCCACAAACTCCAGCAGCAGAACGCGGCGCCGTTTCCTGTAGAAATGAATCCACAGGAACCTCAGTAAGAGGAGACATGAGCCGCTACTCACCCAGAGAAAACAGCCTGACCACAAGAAAACGAGAGCTCTGAGCACTGCCTCCATCTCTGCTCTGCTGCCCTCAGCCTCAGACGCCCACAACTAAAGCCCTGACGTCACCACATCATCCATCCCATAACGCTACGGGGAGGGGATCCAGTTCAGGACTTTTGGCAGCACTAACAACATTAACACCAAACCTGCTCTAACAAACACAAAGAAGCGCTGCATGACGAGAAAAGCACAGATAATGATGAAGATTTCAGGGATAAATCCCTGGTTTGAATCCAGCAGAAATGGAGGAAATTATAATCAGTACTGACTTTAAAAAGTTTCTTCCTGACCTTTTTTAGTTCCCAGTTTTTGACCCCTGCCTCACCAGCCACAGCTGTTTATTTAATAAAAGTGTCTCATCCATCAATCGATGGGGAATTTCTATAAATCCTGCATTTTAGTGCTGAATTAAATCCCCCCAAACCTCCCTACCTGTTTGCAGTAGTTTTAAATCGACCAGCTGACGGGTAGTTTATCTACCTCAGTGGCTCTCAGCATGCACAGGATACAGTCAGCCATTTTTATTCCTGTATCTCAGACCGTTCCAGTAAACTCCTCTCCACACGTCCTTCAGCAGCGCAGCTGATAACAGTTTGGACTTTTTAGTTTACTTTGATGTGATTTTTTATTTTACATTTTATTGCTCTGGTTACTTGTTAACCGCAAGAGTCAAAAGGTCAAAGGTCAGACTATAGTAATTATATAATGAAGCCTGAACAAAACATAATTTTCTCATAAATTGTTCAATTTAGAGCCGATACTTTTTAATAATTTGACATAAAAATTTTAAATATTTCAAAATATATGAATATGTATGATATGTATAATATATTATATGTATTGTGTATATGGAGATGTGCAAGATACATATTTAATCTTTAATAACTAGTAAAGCATCATTCCATTTTTCGTGGGATTGATGACGTATTTCCGCCCTGGGCGCAAAGAAATCTTTGCCCATTGATTCTGGTTAAAAGTTGTCCATGCGCAGCAGTTCTTCTGCAATGCAAACGTATGGGAGAGCTCAGGACCCAGCTCTGGTGCGCCCTGAGGTGACAGGAAATATATTTGCTCACCACCTCCCGCTACAGACAAGATGTATTGTAAGTGTTTGACAGGGCGAGTCGCAGGAGGTGGAGACGCATTAGAGAGTGAGAGAGAGAGAATGGAGCAAGAAACATCTTTTTCCAGCATCTGGTTTAGCTGCAAGGCTAGGCTAACTGCATGCAGCGAGGCTAACTGCCTGCAGCGAGGCTAACTGCCTGCAGCGAGGCTAACTGCCTGCAGCGAGGCTAACTGCATGCAGCGAGGCTAACTGCATGCAGCGAGGCTAACTGCATGCAGCGAGGCTAAATGCATGCAGCGAGGCTAACTACATGCAGCGAGGCTAACTGCATGCAGCGAGGCTAACTGCATGCAGCGAGGCTAACTGCATGCAGCGAGGCTAACTGCATGCAGCGAGGCTAACTGCATGCAGCGAGGCTAACTGCCTGCAGCGAGGCTAACTGCATGCAGCGAGGCTAACTGCATGCAGCGAGGCTAACTGCCTGCAGCGAGGCTAACTGCATGCAGCGAGGCTAACTGCATGCAGCGAGCCTAACTGCATGCAGCGAGGCTAACTACATGCAGCGAGGCTAACTGCATGCAGCGAGGCTAACTGCATGCAGCGAGGCTAAATGCATGCAGCGAGGCTAACTGCATGCAGCGAGGCTAAATGCATGCAGCGAGGCTAACTGCATGCAGCGAGGCTAACTGCATGCAGCGAGGCTAACTGCATGGAGCGAGGCTAACTGCCTGCAGCGAGGCTAAATGCATGGAGCGAGGCTAACTGCATGCAGCGAGGCTAACTGCATGGAGCGAGGCTAACTGCATGGAGCGAGGCTAACTGCATGCAGCGAGGCTAACTGCATGGAGCGAGGCTAACTGCCTGCAGCGAGGCTAAATGCATGGAGCGAGGCTAACTGCATGCAGCGAGGCTAACTGCATGGAGCGAGGCTAACTGCATGGAGCGAGGCTAACTGCATGCAGCGAGGCTAACTGCATGCAGCGAGGCTAACTGCATGCAGCGAGGCTAACTGCATGCAGCGAGGCTAACTGCATGGAGCGAGGCTAACTGCCTGCAGCGAGGCTAAATGCATGGAGCGAGGCTAACTGCATGCAGCGAGGCTAACTGCATGGAGCGAGGCTAACTGCATGGAGCGAGGCTAACTGCATGCAGCGAGGCTAACTGCATGCAGCGAGGCTAACTGCATGCAGCGAGGCTAAGGCTTTATCCTGCTTTCCCTGCCTCCTGATTCAAAGGTCAGGATCTGAGCCAGCGTGGAGAAAGACAGCTAGGACTGATTTAAAGCACTTTAGAAAAAAATTATTAACAATCTGGGATTCACATGGAAACTAATAGAATATAGTCTACTTTTTCTACATGTTTGTTCATTTGCATAGTTGCTCTTAAATAAACACATTCTCAGAAAATAAATACTTTTTATATATTAAAAAATATAAAGCTAAATAATAGCTTCTCCATTATTAAACTGGTACATTTTTTTAGGATTTTGACCCAATATTGCACGATGGAGAACATAAGATTTACCTTCAGAAATCCTCAAAATGGCAACATCTATGGACAAAAAGTAAACCTGGAGAATGAAATGATGTTTTGTTTTTATAAAGTGTTTTATCATGTTTTTTGTTGTTGGAATTCATATAAATGTGTTTTATACTGGTGTGATAACTTAGTATACGTTTGATAGGTTTTTGGTCTATTTTGAATTTATAGTTAATATAGCACTGGCTATAATAACTATGCAGTAGGGCCACTGCCATTCACAGCCGCTAGGTGGCGGCGATGAGCTGATCTGGGTCGCTGCTGTTGGTCCGCCTACAGAGTTGGTATCAAAGAGCAAACTCAGCCCAACCCTGGGTGACTGAGCACCACCTTAATGACCCGCTGGGGGTGTGGCTGTGATGCATGCAGCTCTAGTTCTGCAGGATCTGTTTACTCAACCGAGGACTGAAGGAGAAAAAAAAGGCGGCTTGATGAAAACAAAAGGAAGCGGGTAGCAGAGGAGGAATTCACTATGTGCGTGTTTAACTCATAATCACGGCTGACTTTTCCACCTCACAGGTTTCCTCAACCCATGCAGGTTCTCCAACCATCAGCCTCATAATGGTTTGTTTCTGTCTGGAAGGACAGGCGACTAAATTTGTTGGACCCATTTTGGCCATAAAGGCTCCAAAGGTGCAGGTGATGCCAACAGCATGAATCATCAGGTTGTCCTGCATCAAAGTTCAGCAGTAATTAACCTCCCTGACTGAAAGCCTGACTGTGTGGGAGAGCCCATCAGGCTAAATATAGGCAGACAAGTTTTCCTTTGTAAGCTGGACTCACCAAACCGGGCAGGTCCTGCTCTCTGTGGGCGCTGCGGCTCCTCATCCTGACCAGACTCCCCTCGGCGGTGCTGCTGGCAGGAGCAGATCTTCTGCACATGCTCCGGGACCGCATCCTGCTCAGCTCCTGACAAAAGAGGGATTCCACATCAGCTTTTAGCTCCTTTGGTCCGTTATCAGCTAAATCAGATCATGATCGCTGCAGGCTAAATCATTTATACAGTAGAACCGTCTGATAAACAGACTGATGTATTTTCGTCACCCAGAAACCATAAACAGAATCGTCAGTGATATTGAAATGTTCAAAGATATTCTGATTAAGGAGGGACATTAGATCATTTAACAACATATTAGTCTTACTGTTAGCGGCTAGCCTGGCCTAATTCAGTCTAGTAAACCGCCATGGACTCCAGCCAGATCTGGCTGGACCATCACAGAGCAGGAGGGCGGAGATTTATGACGCTCAGCGCCTTTCTGCTTCTCTGCTAGAATAACAGCAACTTTTAGTTCTCAGGCTCCTCTCCTGTGGAACCAACTACCAGTTTTAGTCCGTGAGGCAGACACCCTGTCTACTTTTAAGGCTAGGCTTAAAACTTTCCTTTTTGATAAAGCTTATAGTTAGAGTGGCTCAGGTTATCCTGAGCTATCTCTATAGTTATGCTGCTATAGGCTTAGACTGCTGGAGGACATAGGGACCCCTTTTTCATCATTCTGCTTCATTCTATCTCTATTCTCCCACTCTGCAGAATCTGTTAGTTCAATCTCTAACGTTCTGCTCTCTCTGCTTTTTCTCATAGTAGCTTCATCTGGTCTGTTCCTGTTTGGCTGTGACTCCATCCTGGAGAGAAATATCAGCTGTGCTGCTGCCATCAACACCTTTGTTTCTAGATGTTGGAGCTTGGCCTGTTTTCCAGTGTAGTCCTGTTTCTCTGACTGTGACTAACTGGATGTGACAAACTGCTTCTGTCTCCTTGAACCCCAGTGGGCCTCAGCAGATGGCCGCTCACACTGAGCCTGGTTCTGCTGGAGGTTTCTTCCTGTTCAAAGGGAGTTTTTCCTCTCCACTGTCGCTACAAGCATGCTTAGTGTGAGGGATTGCTGAAGAGTCAATGAGTCGATGCAATCAGCTGGTTTTCCTTAGATAGAAAACTTTGAATCAATCTGACTGGATGATCTGGTGAACTGCAAAGTGACCTGAGATGACATGATGTGAATTGATGCTATAGAAATAAACTGAATAGAATAGAATTGCTCCATGGTGTTTAATTCATATCAAAATCTCTACTACATTCACAAATAATACAGCTTTATTTACAGAGTAAAACACTTAAAGCATCAGAGGCTGGTTTCATGTCTCCCTTCACATCATTTCCGCCTTTGGCTGTTAAAGGAAACTGTCTGTAAAGTTCCAGTTTAGACCTGCTTTCAAAGAGACGGAATCCAGGTGACTGGATGCATGCAGGTAAACTGCACTGCGGCGTCCACGCCTGGCAGTTTAATTCAGACCTGAGGAAAGGAATGCATTCAGATTGACCCACAGATACCTGCTTCCTACCCTGTTCGTACAGAACAAACTGCATCCTGTGATCCATAATGCTCTCCTAGTTTCCAGAAGCATTCAGGGGAACGCATTAATGCACAGCACTGCTGAGCAAACAGTTCTGCCCTGATAACACCTTCCACTGAGACGTTCCTCCGCATACCAGCGGCCTCCTGCTACCCCTCCTCTATCTGCAAACACCTGAAAAATGGCGGCAAAGAACCTGCTTTCTGAGAGCCGTGCAACACGTTTGCCTTCATATTATTCTGAGTCTCCTGCTTTAAACTCGGCCAGTAAAACCATGACGAAATCTTTGTTTCGCTTTCTAACCAGAACATGTAAATTAACAGCTCAGTGAACACAGAGACGCACAGATGATGAAGCGAACAGAAGCAAAACCAGGAAACACTCATCAACCCCTAAAAGCTAATGCTAGAAACACCAGGGGAGGCTAACCTGGACCCAGGAGAGTATTTATCAGATACGATGGTGAAGATTCTCATTCATCCAGGTCAAAGTCATTCCAAAACAGTTAAAAACAATCCACCGAAGTTTGGTTCCAAGTTTGAAGACGTTTCTCTTCCCATTTAGGATCTTTTTCAATTCAAAATGTCAGAAATAGCGTTGAGTTCCGGGTTTTATACAGCAGCCCAACAAAGCCTGGTTTTTGGTTTAGAAAACATGCAAATTAACTCAAAACCCTACAATGCAGCAATAGAGTTGATCCCTTCCCTCTATCATCGTAACCCATTTACAGGGGAACAGAAGAGCTCGCCTATTCAGTCAGGCCAACAATTCCCTCTAATGACCCCCCTTTCAGAGACATAGACAGGTATGGGGCATTGCAGGCTAACAAAGACGCCAAACGACCCCCATTCCAAAGGGGGGGACCCGTTCATCCGTTTCTATTTGCATGTTTTCTAAAGACTTTGTTGGGCTGCTGGATAAAACAGAGGTTGTGGATTATTGGTCCGCGGTCTAGATCCGGACCCAACCTGATTTACAACATTTTTATCACATGTTGTCTAACTTCACTTGCGCCTCTTCTTCTGTTAATACGGTAAAGCCCTGGGGAGCGTCCGGCTCCAGGCTGCACGTGATCCAAATGAGCCAATGAGCTGCTGTCAGTCTGGGTTGCTGCTGCTGCTACTTTTAGACACAGCAGGCAAACCTGTGGCAAGCCGGGCGATGGGAAAGAAGGAGAAGACCATGAGAAAAAGAGAGCAGAGAAAGTGTGGACTGCTGGAAGAACTGCGGTGAACTGGTGAAAGAAAAGTGAAATGGCGTGCTCAAAGATGACCCTGCACATTTAGAGGATGTTTGGCTCAACCTGCTGCTGTGAAGCAGGATTCTCCACCATGAACAGAATCAACAATAAATCTGGATCCAGGCTCAGAATGAGCTCCTTGATATGTGCTTGAGAATGGCTTAGTCTCCATTTAAACCCAGGTTTAAAGCCTTGCAGGGCAGCCTAAAGCCCACTGCCAACATTAAGACAGAAAAAAGAAAGGAAATAACAAACGATCAGTTCAGGGGTTTGAGAAAATATGGGAATCAGGAAATTATCTATAAACCAAACTGAACGATGTTGTTCTCTACTTTAAAAACACTTTAGATTTAAAAATCTGTGTATTTAAAAAGTCAATGTATAAAGTTTTATATATAATCATTTTATTTCAGTGTTAAATTCTGTTGATTTTTAATTGGTTACCCCTGATATAGAGCCTAAAACTCAACACTTTTTTTGACATTTTGAATTGAAAAATCTTCCTGGACGGGAAGAGAAACGTCTTCAAACATGGAAACAAAGTCCAGTGGATGGATTTTTTTTGTACTTTATCAGCTACGTTAATGACCCCGTCTAACAAGCAGCAGGGCACTATGTACCACAGCATCGCCAACATGGTCCCTTTTGATCTCTCCGTCTCCCCCTCAGGGCGCCACGCCTCACCTGCAGCCTCCCTGTGTTTTCATAGAGGATTCTTTCTCTCACCTGAGATCCTTGGGTTCTCCTGCGGCTCCTGTCCTTGGGAGGATGGGGCTCTCTTGGAATCCAGGCCTGGTCTCCACCGTGGGGAGGTTCCTGATATGATTGGGGCTCCTTCCCTGAAGGAGGAGCCAAGAGCAGAGGCTGGTCCAGGAAGGCGGGTCTGTGCCGCTGTGGTTGTTCTGGGCTGAGCGTGTTGGGAGCGTTTCTGGGTCCGTCTACAGACATCTCAACAGGACGGAGCTCCCACGGATCCTGAGGAGATGTTGTCCATACGGGGCTCGAGGTCTGTGGCGGGACCTTCCAGCTTCCGTCTCTTCCGGGCGTTGGCTGCAACCAGGCGTCAGGAGCAGGAAACCCGGGCGGAGTGGGAGAGGTGAAGGAGTCGATGTTGAGCCCAGCAGGTTTATGGGGCTCCCTCCACCGCGGAGAAGGGTCGCCGCTTTGGGAAGATGCTGGATCACCTCGGTGTCTCTGATGAGACGACTCCAACCGGAGCCTCTCCTCCTCCTCCTTCTTCTGCTTCTCTTTGAGCCGCTGCCTCTCTGCTTCCTGCTGCTTGGCGATGTGCCTCATCTTCTCAGCCTCGGCCTTTTCCAGCTTCTCCTTTGCTTTCCGTTTCTCCAGCTCCATCTCTCTCAGTCTCTCCTGCTCCTTCCTCTGCCGGTCCCTCTCCTGTTCCTTTCTCAGCCTCTCGTTTTCAAACTGCTGTCTCTCCAGGTCCAGCTGCCTCTGCCTCTCCATCTCTCTCTGCCTCCGTTTCTCCTGCTCTCTCATCTCCATCTCTCTCTGTTTTGCTCTCTCCTTCTCCAGTTCTTTGATCTTCAGCATTTCCTGCTCCAAAGCCATCTGTCTCAACTTTTCCGCCTCCTTTTCCTCCTTCTCTCTCAGTCTCTGCTTCTCTAGCTCTACAATCTGCTGTCTCTCCATCTCTTTGAGCTTTTCCTGCTTTTCCTCCTTCCTCTTCCTGTCCTGCTCCTCCTTCCTCTTCCTGTCCTGCTCCTGCTCTCTTCTCAGCCTCTCCTTTTCTAGCTGCTGTCTCTCCAGGTCCAGTTGTCTCTGCCTCTGTTTCTCCAGCTCTCTCTCCTTCTCCATCCTAATCTCCATCTGACGCTCCATCTCCATCTCCCTCTCCTTTGCTCTCTCCTTCTCCAGCTCTTTTATCTTCAGCATTTCCTGCTCCAGAGCCATCTGTCTTAATTTCTCTGCCTCCTTCTCTGCTCTCTCTCTGGATCTCTGCTTCTCTAGCTCTACGATCTGCTGCCTCTCCATCTCTCGGAGTCTCTCCTGCTCCTCCTTCCTCTTCCTGTCCTGCTCCTGCTCTCTTCTCAGCCTCTCCTTCTCTAGCTGCTGTCTCTCCAGGTCCAGTTGTCTCTGCCTCTGTTTCTCCAGCTCTCTCTCCTTCTCCATCCTAATCTTCATCTGACGCTCCATCTCCCTCTCCTTCTCTAGCTCCTTCATCTTCAGCATTTCCTGCTCCAACACCATCTGTCTTAATTTCTCTGCCTCTTTTTCTGCTCTCTCTTTGGATCTCTGCTTCTCTAGTTCTATGATCTGCTGCCTCTCCATCTCTCGGAGTCTCTCCTGCTCCTCCTTCCTCTTCCTCTCCTGCTCCTCCTTCCTCCTCCTGTCCTGCTCCTGCTCTCTTCTCAGTCTCTCATTCTCCAACTGCAGTCTCTCCATCTCCTGCATCCTCTCCTTTTCTCTTTGCCTCTGTTTTTCCAGCTCCATCTCCTTCAGTTTGGTTCTTTTCTCCAGCTCCTTCATCCTCAGCATTTCCTGTTCTAAAGCCATCTGTCTGGATTTTTCGGCCTCCATCTCTTTCTGCCTCTCCACCTCTCGTCTCTCTCGCTGCCTCTCTAGTTCTTGGAGTTTCTGTTTTTCCAGCTCCAGCTGTTTTTGCCTTTGCTGTTCCTCCTCTAATTCCCTTTTTTCCTTTTCGAAGGCCTTCTGTCTTTGTCTTTCGTACTCTCTCTGCCTATCCAGCTCCCTCATCCTTTCAAAGTCGGCCTGCGCTTGTTGGTTGACTTTAGCCCTGTGTCTTTCAGTCTCCTTCTCATGCTCTTGTTTCTTTGCCGTTTCCTCTTTGGCTGCTTTGTCGGTCGGTGACCTGACGTCCACGGACTGGACATGGCTCCTCAGCATGAGTTCACCAAACTTCTCCTGCTCAAATGCTAGTTCTAGGGAAGGGTTCCTCCTTGCTGGGAAGCTGCTCAGAGATGACCTCACAGATGGCTCATTGTAGAGCTGAGCTCCCTCCACAGTGGTTGCTCCTCCAGGGGAAATCTCCTGCATTTGACCAGTCAGAGCGAAGTAGGTGGCCCTTGGCTTCTGCTGCTCCTCTGCCTGCAGCATCTTCAAGCGTTTTGGGGCAGCAGCCACTTCATCCTGATCTCTCTCCAAAGCCACCCGCCCTTCGCTTTCTGATTCCTCCAGCATCCCTCTATCCGGACCTCCACGTTGGTCAAGGCCTGTATCGGTCCACCTCTGTAGGGCCCCCACTCTGAGGTACCGTGGCGGAGGGTCCGCTGGCGCTGGGGGAGTCATCGGAAGGCCTGGTCTGGATCGCTCGGAGCGTCTGGAGCGGAGTGTCATGGCCTTGTCTTCCCATTGGGCTGCAGGAACACTCTCGCTCATGGCCTGGCTGTGCTCGGCGGCCTGAACCGTGTCGAAGGCGTGCGACACCCAGAAAGGATCTGAGGGAGACGAGGGTGCCCTGTAGGTGGCGGTGACTAGAGAGCAATCGTCGTCATCGTCGTTTCCTCTGGTGCCAGCGGGGTGGTCCATCATCAACACACTCTGCCTCTCCACCACGTTCTCAAACAGAGACGCTCTCACCGTGTGGAATTCAGCACCAGAACCACTTTCCTTGGAAGGAGTCAGCAGCTGTCCTGCCTCCCATCCTTCAGGAATGAAAACCTCTCTGGACTCTGATGGAGAATCTTTTAAATCCACAAACATCTTCTGGACACTGGGAGAACTTCTTGATTCCTCCACCTGAAAAGAGGAAAGCAAAACCACAGAACACTGATTAGCTGATCCGCGCAGTCCGCAACTCACCTGCTCTCTGGAAACATCTTTCCTCAAATGTAAGGGCCCTTTAGTCAAGAATTAATTGGAAGAGCCCTTTAGTCAACAATTAACTGGAAGGGCTCTTTAGTCAACAATTAACTGGAAGGGCTCTTTAGTCAACAATTAACTGGAAGGGCCCTTTAGTCAACAATTAACTGGAAGGGCCCTTTAGTCAACAATTAACTGGAAGGGCCCTTTAGTCAACAATTAACTGGAAGGGCCCTTTAGTCAACAATTAACTGGAAGGGCCCTTTAGTCAAGAATTAACTGGAAGAGCCCTTTAGTCAAGAATTAACTGGAAGGGCACTTTAGTCAAGAATTAACTGGAAGGGCACTGTAGTCAACAATTAACTGGAAGAGCCCTTTAGTCAAGAATTAACTGGAAGGGCACTGTAGTCAACAATTAACTGGAAGGGCCCTTTAGTCAACAATTAACTGGAAGGGCCCTTTAGTCAAGAATTAACTGGAAGAGCCCTTTAGTCAACAATTAACTGGAAGGGCCCTTTAGTCAACAATTAACTGGAAGGGCCCTTTAGTCAACAATTAACTGGAAGGGCCCTTTAGTCAACAATTAACTGGAAGGGCGCTTTAGTCAACAATTAACTGGAAGGGCCCTTTAGTCAACAATTAACTGGAAGAGCCCTTTAGTCAACAATTAACTGGAAGGACCCTTTATTCAAGAATTAACTGGAAGGGCCCTTTAGTCAACAATTAACTGTAAGGGCCCTTTAGTCAACAATTAACTGGAAGGACCCTTTAGTCACAATTAACTGGAAGGGCCCTTTGTCAAGAATTAACTGGAAGGACCCTTTAGTCACAATTAACTGGAAGGGCCCTTTGTCAACAATTAACTGGAAGGGCCCTTTAGTCAACAATTAACTGGAAGGGCCCTTTGTCAACAAAATAACTGGAAGGGCCCTTTAGTCAACAATTAACTGGAAGGGCCCTTTAGTCAACAATTAACTGGAAGGGCCCTTTGTCAACAATTAACTGGAAGGGCCCTTTGTCAACAATTAACTGGAAGGGCCTTTTGTCAACAATTCACTGGAAGGGCCCTTTAGTCAACAATTAACTGGAAGGACCCTTTGTCAAGAATTAACTGGAAGGACCCTTTAGTCACAATTAACTGGAAGGGCCCTTTGTCAACAATTAACTGGAAGGGCCCTTTAGTCACCAATTAACTGGAAGGGCCCTTTGTCAACAATTAACTGGAAGGGCCCTTTAGTCAACAATTAACTGGAAGGGCCCTTTGTCAACAATTAACTGGAAGGGCCCTTTGTCAACAATTAACTGGAAGGGCCTTTTGTCAACAATTAACTGGAAGGGCCCTTTAGTCAACAATTAACTGGAAGGACCCTTTAGTCAAAAATTAACTGGAAGGGCCCTTTGTCAACAGTTAAATAAAAGAAACCTTCATCATAGGGGCCCTTTGGTCGTCAATTGAATAATTGAAAGTACATTTTTACACATTAAATAAAAAATTAGAGGAAAAGTTTTCATTCAGAGAACTTTTAGAGGTGAACTGGTGACCAAGCTTCACTGACAAAGTTTTCTGGAAACAATGGAAGGAAAGAATGTGAGAAGTGTTAGACATGAAGGAAGGGACAACCAAAGCGACGGAGAAAGCTTGAGGACACAGTGGAGATGCGGCAGCATTAGAAGGTGTTATAATGTCTGCTCCTTTAATATGAACTGATGGTGATACACAAAGGTGGTAAAGATCAGTTAATTAATGAGACAATAAAGCAGCCATGGCTAGATGGAACCCAGAACCACTGAAAATTCAGGAAGGACAAGCAGCAGCTACAGTAAATAATGTACTCCACTCCCACACACTACGCAAGACTCCACTGATGAAGAAAGGCATGCTACAGGAAGGTCAGGGTTGGATGAAGAAGATCTGGACCAGCCATGGAAGTACTGGGAGGTCCAGTCTGGTTATTGGAAGGGGAAGGGCTAAATCAAACAACCACGACGCCTCCGAGCTTGGCCCCTTCTTACCCCTCTCTGAGGATCTCTGCTGATCTCATGCCGATCTGCGGCCTCAGTGAGTGAAGCAGGTTCTGGTGAGCGCTCGGAGGAAAACCTGATGAGCATACGTCATACGAGACAAAAGCATGCATGACAATGGGGCTCATGCATCAAACACTGCGAGAGGAAAACGTACCGAGGTCCGATCTTACCTTTTGGTGAGGTCCAGAGGCAACGGGCGGGGCTTCAGCACTGGCTTGACGGCCGGGACCGGAGGGGGCGTGGTGTCCTCTGTCAGCTGCTTGATGAGCTGCTTAACCCCCACCAAGGGTTCTGATTCTGGTAGCGACTGCACCGAAGACGGCGGGTCCGCAGTGGAGCCCGGGGAGGACGAGGAGTCGAGGAGGAGACTAATTCTAGACCTGATGCTGGTCGCGGGTTTAACCTCTTCAGCCTCGTTCACAGCACTGTCCTCTAGCTTTCTGCTGTCTTGGTCCGTGTTCGCTGGTTCTGCAGGACCATCGGTACTACCCAGAGCTGTACTGGGAGTGGTTCTGTCCTCTGGGTCCAGCGGCGCCACCGGCTCTGTAGGAGTGTTTGGTTTGGGGCTGTTACGGGGCAGACCGATGGACTCAAATTTGGACGTGAGATCAGCGGAAAGGGGTCGCCTCGCTGCCGAGCGGGGGGCGGGAACCGGAGCCTCCGTTTTAGCTGGAGCAGCAGGGAAGATGGCTGAGACCGGTCTGGGTCTGGGGTTTCTGAGCTTCGTTCGCATCTGCACGGCCGCTCCGAGCTGATCTTTTTCCTTTTCTTCTTTCTCCTGTCCGATGGCAGCCAGGAAGTCCATGGATTTAGCTCTAGTGATGGACCCTTCACTGATCGGCCCACTGTCGGGTTTGTTGGAAGTGGTTCCGGACCACTCCGCTGCCGAATACATTTTCAGACTCTTGGAATAGGCCAAGCTTGAGGCGGCAGGTTTCTGCCTCCCAGTCGGCACCGGCCGGCCCGATCTGCTGGGCTCCCCGGGGTCAAGCGGGGGCGCCGGTTTGAACGGCTGGGGAACAGGCTTGGTGGTTTGGCCCGTTTTGAGTTTATTTGGTGCTCTGAAGGAAGTGGCGGTCGGACGGCTGGGGTTGGAGGTCGTCTGCCTCACCGTTGGCTTCGGTGTGTTTGGCAGATCCGGTTTGGGTCCGGTGAGGCGCGTGGTCTCCGGGCGAGGTTTAGTTTGGGGCTTAGGGGCAAGTATGGGCTTGATGGTGGGGTTCTTCTCCACCGCGAACGGCTTAGGAGTAAGCCGAGGCTTAGGGCTAGGGGCGGGTTTGCTGCTTTCCGACGCCATGATGTGAGGCTCGCTTACAGAAGGCATCTCCATGACGTTCTTGTTGCTGGAGTCAGTCAGTGGACTCAGGTGGAGTCGTCCTGCCGCCCCCGTCCTACCAACCTCACCGGTCTGAACCTCCACCTGAGCAGCCATCCTTCCCAACAAACAAACCATTTAAACATCATTAGTCTTTATTAAAGTAAAAAAAAAAAAAGAATCCATCAAAAAACTCTGAGAAAGACTCTTAAAAACAACAAACAGGATGTTAAGGTGAGACCAAATTAACTCAAGAACCTACAATGCAGCGATAGAGTTGATCCCTTCCCGCTATCATCGTAACCCCTTTACCGGGGAACAGAAGACCTCGCCTATTCAGCCAGGCCAACAATTCCTTCTAACGACCAACCTTTAAGAGACATAGACAGGTATGGGGCATTGCAGGCTAGGCGAGTTCCAGGTTTTATCCAGTAGCAAACAAAGCCTGGTTTTTGTTTAGAAAACATGCAAATAGAAACGGATGAACGGGTCCACCCCTTTGGAATGGGGGTCATTGGCTTCTTTGTTAGCCTGCAATGCCCGATACCTGTCTATATCTCTGAAAGGGGGTCATTAAAGGGAATTGTTGGCCTGGTTGAACAGGCGAGGTCTTCTGTTCCCCTGTAAAGGGGATACGATGATAGCGGGAAGGGACCAACTCTGTTGCTGCATTGTAGGTTTTTGAAAGCTGACCTCCAAGTCCACCCCTCTCTGTTCGTAAAGATGATATTTTCAGATAAGACTCTGATTTTACTGGAAAACAATCTGGTTACAGTCATGGCCAAAAGTTTTGAGAATGATTCAAATGTTAATAGTCTACAGTTCAGTCTTTATAACAACAATTTGCATATACTCCAGAACAGGGGTGCCCAACCAGTCGATCGCAAGAAGTTTTACAATTTAGACCTATTTATTTATTTATCAATCATTGATCACGAGAGGCCAATGTGTATTTTCATAATAATAAAATGAAAAATAAAAAGTATGCAGGGAATCTTTTTTTATGCATGCTGATTGCTGGGCATGGTTTGCCACGGTTGCTAGGTTGTTACCAGGGACTCTAAAGCGTGAAGAGGAATCTGCAGACATCTATCACAACTGATGGGGCTCCATCTATGGTTGGGCGCACTGCTGGATTCGTTGCTCTGTCAAAGCTGTCTGAAACTTTCCCGGATTTTTGGAGCTACCGCTGCATCATTCATCAGCAACAGCTGCGCGGCAATATTTTAAATATGAAGCATGTCATGGACGTTAGATGAAGATCGCTGGCTCTGTTCGGGCCGGGAGTTTTCAGAGGCGTTTATTCTGTGCCCAGCTGGAGGAGGCAGGTGCAGACCACACTGATCTGCTGCTGCACACCGACGTCAGGCGGCTGAGCCTT